CGAAATCATCTATTGTTAGTTTTAAAGATATGGCAATAAAGGAGTCTAAATTAGCAAACTTGTAGAAGCCATAACTGATAAAACAGCTTATTGAAAAAAGGTGGCAGTAATGCACTCTATGTGTGCACAAGTACGTAAGAAAATACACAGACGTATAAAATTGCACGCACACACTCACGCACACACATCCTTCCACACACCTCTATGCTCACGCATATACATATAGACAACAGGAGGAGTTAGAGACAAGTTAGAATTTGATTTGTACTTTGATCAGCCCTAACCTGTGCATAAAATAATGGAAAAAGGCTGTATTTCTGCAGGGCAGAATGGTCTAGACTGGGACTCGAGAGCATGAATGTTTTGGTTTGGAGTTCGGGCTATTTCCGTCCCGGTAAGAGCCCGTCTGGTCATTGCCATGTATTCTTTTTTCCATGCAAAAATAAGCTTCCCACAACTAAAACGTATTTAAAATCAGTGCTTGTGGTGGGAAGAGAGTCAGTAAATGGCCACCAACAGCAGGAAAAGTTCTCTATCTGAGGCAGCTCCAGTCCCCTCTTAGTGGTGTGTGACAGCAATCGTACACGTGAACTACACTTTAATCGATTCCAGGTAAGCTGAATATTTCGGGTTATGGAATATGTCTCCGAAGTAGCAGGCTGAAATGTTACTGGCCAACATTTTTTGAGCGATCTGTCTTTACTGAAAGGAAATTCTGTACACTACGAACCAAGTGAAATGATCAAGTACATGCTGTTTCTAAGTTGTCTCCTAAACCTCCTAGATATGAGGTCTGATCAGCGTGCTCTGTGGTTAGAGGTTAAAAAGCAGATTATAAAATACCTAGATTCAGATTTTTTTTTTGTCCTGATTTGGCCTAAAATGGAGTGTATTAAACAAATTCTGGTCTGCAAAAGACCAGAATCAGTTAAAGCTATGAAACAATGTGCACTACGTGTCAATATTCTATTTCACTTACAAGAAAACACTAAGTCAGCTACCACAAATTAAGATATTTTCCTGATGTGACTTTTTTTTTGTTTTGTTAAAAAATATGTGGAGTAAATGTGTTTTTTTTTTAATTCAAAGTTTCAAACAACAAGATTCTTTTCTTTTCTTGAAAATATGTAGGAATCCAAACTAGTGTGTTTAGAGTCGGTTGACTGTGCAATCTCTTAGTGGCAACTGAACAGCTACAAAAAACTTTCTTTTTTTTTTCTTTTTTTTTTTGAAAAATCTCCCCTTTTTTCCTGGTTTAAGAAGATAATAGTGTATTATCGCTCTGTAGCCATTAGATGGCAGATAAAAAGCCCCCTTTTAATATGTGGGTTTGATTTTTTTTTTTCTTTTTTTTCTGTTTTTCTTTTTTTAAAGCCCACACCAAAGAGGAGGGCACAAGGCAAAGCTGTATGAGTTATTCCAGAAATTGTGGAAATCACTTAGGGCAATAATAAAAACACTTCAGGGTACAAAAAAGCTTGACTACACATTTCAGTTTTCTTCCTCGAAAACACAAACATAAATTGGGCTTAACGCTCCTTTTTGTTTTCTATATGCACCTTGGCCTATGGCGTTTTTGCCCTGTGGCCCGCAGGGCGGTTAAGTGCGCAACACAATAAAACCAGTAGAGGTCCAGTTTCACTTCCCAGCTCTCCAGAGTTGGGCGAGTTTAATCTCAAAACTCCCACTCGACGGCCTCTTCTCGACTCGCGGCCTTCTCCAAGCGGTGGATGATGTTGTTCAAGTTTGCCGCTTTCTTTTTCCTCAAGGAGCTGTCTCGCGTGTTCCTGGAGCTCACCGCCTCGGAGAAGCCGAACAAGCTCTGAAGAGAGTTGGCTTTCTGCGAGCCTGCGGCCGGCGTCGAGCTCGTACTTGGCACACTGGAGATTTTCTCTGAACTTTCTTTTGACTTGTAGGAGCTCTCCCCTGTAAGAACTGAGGTGGAGGCAGCTGAGGTAGAGGCATCCCCTTCCGTGGCAGAGTTTGGCAGTGTCTCCAGAGCTTCTCCCGGGCGCTGCGATGCCGGCGGAGAGCTCTGGCGCGGTGCTCTGAGCCTGCCCTCGTCATCGGTGTCCTCCAGGCCCTCCGCCTGGAATGGCTCCGCTTTCTCCGAAGACCTGGCGCCTTGCAGTGCCTCTTCCCCCGCTTCGAAAGCCGACTCCGCTGGCCCTCCCTGAGACTTTGTGGTTGCATTGCTGTACTCATCCGCCTCCGGGCCACTCGGCTTCCCTTCAGGTGGGCCTTCTGCGTCCACGCCATCGCAGCTGTCTCCCTCGGAGCTGTGAGCGGCCCTGCTGCTTCTGGCGGAAGGAGAGTCGCTCGACCCAGCCTGGCTCTGGCTCCCGGCTTGGATCTCCTCGATGAACAGCTCCCGGCGGATGCGAGACCTAAGAGACAGGGGAGAAGGATGGTGAGTCTGCGGGGGGTCACTCAGAGCCACCCTGCTCTACCAGACACGCCATTCAAAACGCCCTTTCATAAAACGTCACTTTGCCTTGGCTACGGGACAGCCACACCAAGCCGGGTCAGTGGAAGCGCTCACACCCTCAAATCCAAAGGACTGACTGAAGAGGTGTTTGGAAGAACATGAAATGCTGTCAAGATGCTCTTAATTTCATTTTCCCCAGCCACATGCCTGCTGCGAAGCCTGCTGTGCTAGAAGGGATGCAGGCTGCCAACCCCAGACCGCCCCGGGGCTCCTCTGTGGCACAGCGGGAGGGCAGGCAGTCGCAGCCGGGATTTTGAGCAGATAAGCCATTTCTGGTAACTTCTGCAGTTACTTCTCAGTGTTGAGACTGACCCCCCTGACTTCAACCAGGATTTTGTGTATTTATTGTAAATCTGACGTTGATGACTGCCCCTTCTAGTAACCACAGCAGGCATTATGGAATAAAGCAAAAATATAAACTTTATGCAGATAATCAGTTTGTACTAAAATGATTGGTGAAAGCCAATGACAGCTCATCTTCCCTTTTTTTCAAGTTTAAATTAAGTAACATTCATAACTGTATGCTTAATTTTTACAGCACTGGATGGAGTTTAAGGGACAGAGATGAAAGGCTCTGCAGTCTCCTGTTCCTACTAAAAGTCTGACGTCAGGAAGGTGAAACTTTACAATACGCTGGACCAGAAAAGGGATGATTTTAAAAATGTGAATAAATTTCTAGTAGATCCAGAAGAAAACGGCTTGTAAATACAAAACAATTCAGATTTCTACTAGAAACGAGCCACGATTTGCCTAAACAAAAAACAAACAAGGAAAAAAATCCAGACAACCCCCTTGGTGCTCTCCTGGACACCAAGGAGAAACAAAGATGAAACGAAGTCCATTGTTCTGAAACCGCCTTGGGGAAGCACAGCCTTTTGACAGGTTGTCAGTCTATGAGCTAGTCTGACTTTTGCCTCATTTTTTATTTAAAAAAATCGATTTCAGAACATGAATAGTGTCAAGGCAAGCAGTGCATTTCAAAGAAATTAATGCACTCCATGAGGGGTTAAAATTGCCTGGTGTGCCACCTTGTGCCTCCTATTACTTTAAGTGTGCAATAATACCCCAAACACACTGCCTTTGCCATTTAACTTGGTCCTTCCTCCCTCTTCCTTCTCTGTTTAGGAGCTCCCAATATCCTCACAAGTACAGAACAGTTTATGAAAAAACCTTAGGGTTAGGATAACTCTTTCTCTGTACTGCTCTGTCAGTAGGAGAGGTTATGGCCACTGTTCAGGTCCTAATTTGCAACCACGAGGGAGCCTCAATGACCTGTGGTCAGGGACGAGAATACAGACGCCAGGGAGAGTTTAGCAAAACTTTATCCTTCAGGGTGAAGATAACACTTTCGGTTTTAGCCAGGGAGAACTGTTAAGGGTCTTGCAAATCACAAGTGAAGTGCTGTCCCAACACTGATGGCTGTACGAATTTTTCATTTTTCCCTAAATGTGCTACGGAAGACAGCACGCAATGGAAAAAACATAGGATACATGCAGAACACCATCTGAATACTGCTTTTGAAGCTAACGATATTATTGACTTACTTGAAATGCAACAGAGTATTTCAGCAGTACTTGCTGACTGTACACTTTTAAAGGATTTAGGGGGTCTCTAATTTTCCCTAGGAGAATATTATTCATCTAACAGAAGACCACAGGTGCTAACATTAATTTTCTATTACCATTAATTGCATGCATCCTGCAACATCGATTATCAGGCTCTATTTATGCCTATAATCTCCCTGCATAGACATTGATCCAGAACACACTGCTTCTGTAGCATTCCCCAAGTCAGGAGAGGAAACAGGTAAGAGCTTTGTGCCTGCATGGCATTTAAAATACCTCAGCTCCAGCAAGATACTGAATGATGACATGCTCACTAAGTATCTGACCACAGCCCTACAGAATACAGGTTTGATGTCTGTGGAAATCCCTGGAATTCACACCCAATATATAGCTTCTGGAATCCAGTCTGGCTCCTGATTAACACAGTAATTAAATCCCTATGGTAAAGACGAACTGGTGACAGAACCTAGGAAATTCCAGAGAGCATTCCTCTCGGTGGAAGGTGTTGGCCTTGACATCAACACATCCTGTTGGTATTCATCAGCGTAACTCAAAATATCAGAGATCTCGTGGGGTGTATGTTGAAGTTCCCTGTACACACCCTTCACACAACTCCAGGAACTCATCTAAACAATCATAATGCTACAGTTCATTGAAAAAATATGCCCACAGTAAGAGCAACGAAATTTAGGATCCAAGAGCACTAGATTACAATTCAAGAAAGTTTGGTTTAATTCCTGATGCTTCTGTAGTATCATCTCTATGACCTTTCTGAGTTTCCGTGCCAGTTTCCCATGTGAAGTGGGATAGAAATCCCTACCTCCTACTCTTTTGTACAGTTCTTAAGACAATAGAGCCTTATATTCTGATGGGTCCTGTATATGTGCTTCACAATTGCAATATTTTTATGTTCTGAGAGCTATGTGATTGGTATGGATGCAAAGCGATACACTTGGAGAAGTCTGCAGACATGCCAAAATCCTTTATACCTATTTATTGTCTGAAGTTAATTATTTCTTTGCTCACTGAGGATTTTTTTAAAACTTCTTTTGCTGTGGAAAATAAACGCTAGCGCTGACTTCCCATTTGGTGCATATAAAGGTAGATTCTGCTGTAGCAACCACCTTTGGAAAGTGAGGCTTGGGCTGAACCCCAAAGGAAAAGAATTATTGCAACAGGATTCCCAAGAGACAGGAAGACAAACTTGTCCAAATCTGTACCCTGCCTCAGCTGAAGTTACTTTATAGAAAAATTTATACGGTCTAAGGTGTGAAACTGCTTCTCTATGAAGACTCTTCAGTTTGGAACAGAAATGGTGGAGGGAGAGTATAAAAGAGATAAATAAAGTTAAGTGTGGTCTGGAGAAGATGAAGAGGGGAACGACTACCCATTTCCTGTAATACACGAGCTGCAGAACAGTCAGATCCTGTTCCCCTAGCAGAACATGTAACTTCTACCTCTTCTGCAACGTCTGCAAATGATTTAAGAGTACTTCATGCATGAAAGCTAAGTAAGTTGTTGTACAGAGGAAAAGAACAGGCACGTGTTTTGATTTTTCGGTGGTGGCAACCGCTCAGAGCACCCAGGGCTCCAAACAGGCTTGAAACATCTCTTTAAAGTCCTGGAGACTCAGCAGCACATCTGGGAGCAGGTCCAGATCACTCACTGCTGTGAAGCTTGTGCTACCCACCAGCCTACAGCACCTTGTTTATACATTTTTTATTTTGTATACAACTGTCAGCACCTAGTCTACATTAGTGTATAGCTTGGTGTGGCTAAACATGCTGATCAATCATGACTTGTCACGCTTTCTCGCAGCACGCCTGAACAGGAGATCTCATGATAATGAGGAAGATGACACATGCCACCAGTGCTCCCGCACTCGTCTGCGTAAGTGAGAACAGCACATTTTGCTGTCAGGCCGAAGGGAACATATTTTCATAGGCATTCCTCCAACTTGTGTATAATTGCCTAGAAGTGGGAATTGGAAGAGAGGCCTGCATTTGGAGAACTCTGAGCAGTGAAAGAGGCTGCATCTGTAGCGAATTCAAGTCAATGAAATTCAGTGTAAATATGATTACTTGTTGGTTATAATTTTAAAATTTTATATTGTTTACTATAAACATTATTTTACTATTGTGCATAATATTTCTGAGATATGTCATTAAACTGTGCTGCTTCTGCTTCAGCAACTTCCCTGTTAAAAGCTGAGAAGGGCCAAAATGGAAAATACCCTTTAAATGTTAGCAGTTTCTAAAAACAAACAAGTTCAGCAATCTGGACTAATTAGGAATGTTACTGGCTCCAAGTGAAGGGGCAGAATAGTATTAAATCTGGTATCTTAACTGTACCTGTTCAATATTCATTAGCACAAATTTCTTGGAGAAAAGTCTGCTGCACTAATTAAGATTCCCAATCCCAAGCACAGTTGATAATATGTTTATTCAAATCCTTATAATTCTTCTATGTGAATGACAGCATTGTTTCTTTTCATTGGTGTCTCTAGGCCAAAACCTACTTCAATGTTTCAAATGTGGAGAAGGTTCCTTCTAATATGAGAAAGGAACTAAACAGACTAACATCTTATTTCATTTCAGCAGGACTCAATGATTTAATCATAACAATGAAACAAATTTGTGGCCACATCTGACTTCAGGGTTATCGGTTCTCTGTCCTTCGTGACTGTGTGGAGCTTCCCAGAAATACAGCACGCACTGTGCCTATTTTGAGAGCTCAGTGACTCAAGACCTAAAAGAAAATCCTCTTTTTGCTCTTATGTGGGAAAAATACATGATGAAAGCAGTGCAATCCTGCTGCCATTCCAAGCACCCCCCACCAAGTGACCCAGGCATAACACACACAACACACACCTATATGTGTATGTACATGTGCGAGTATATATCTGTGTGAGTATATATCTGTGTGAGCGTGCATATGCAAGTAAGAAAGACCAGTCTTGCTTACTGCAACGGGATTTATAAATATTCGTTAGTGGACATCTCTAAATCAACACCCACTCCAAAAGCGAGACTTTCTGCTTAAAAGCACTACTTACATCAATATATGGATACTGCTGTTCCTCAGGGATGACTTAAAATTAGTCTGGAACATTAGCATTACTGTTAGTTAGAACCTCCCTGCTGTTGAAACTGTTCATTTTGCACAATCGCTCAATGCTAGCAGAAGCAGACACAGTCTGCTGAAGCAGAGTAGCACCCTTCCAAGGCAAATAAAAGAAATCCTTTATGAGCGGGGCTCCCGGGAGATCTCATACCTGTAATTGTGGAACCAGTTGATCACGGTGCTGGTTTTCAAGTTGAGCTGCGTAGCGAGTTCCTCAATGGTTTTTGGTGATGGGTATGGCTTTTGCTGGTAGGCTCGTTTCAGAGCTTCCTTCTCTTCCGGGGCCAGCACCACCCGGGGCTTCTTCAGCTGATGCTGCGGCTGCGGGCTGGCTCCCTGGCTGTAGTCTATTCCAGCGGATGAGGACTCACAAGACTGACTGTCGCTAACAGAGCTGTGTCGCCGTTTCATGTAGGCTGAAAGAGAAGCGCATCGGATCAGCCCCAGCTGAATACAAATGCAAAATCAATGAATATACGAGCTGTGGAATAAATGCGAAGATGACAGGTTGTAGATGCATGGATGGGCTGTTTGGAGAGAACAGAAAGGAAGGGGCACCATCAGAGATCAGAGGAAAGCAAGTGTGGGGAGGATGCAAGAGGCAGAAAAAGAAGAAAGAAGGGAAAGAAAAGAGGGTAAATCGACTGGAAACCTGCCAGAGTTTTCTTCTTTTTCAATGAACATGGGACATGAATAACAGGGTTCAGTTAACACGACTTATTTCAAATTCACTCTTTCAAGAGTGGCAAACTTCCACATAAGCACCTGATTAGGACAGTTGCACTTCATTTCAGCTTAAATGGTTTTGGCTGTTAAACACTTAAGGTGTACACTAAGGTCTCTCTAACACTTAAGGTCTCAGAATTAGAAATATGACTGTGGAAGCTGAAGGCAGCCGCAGCCACAGCCACGTCTCCAACACAGGATGGCGCCCGGAGCCCGGAGATCCCAGCAACGGGCTGAATAACCCGTCAGGCGTTTGCTGCTTTTTCCTATAGATCTCCGCTACAGCGGTGACAGGTTATGAAAGAAAAACAGCCCACAGCATCCTCCTCCTCTACGCAAGGCTCTTTCAAAAATGCATATACTTTCAAGAAAGCTCTTGCTGCGCTGATGGAGCTCGGTGAGGCTGATGGCAGAAGCCTGTGATACCACCAACTCTCCTCCCCTGCGGGGACAAAATTATCCTGGCAAATTCTGCAAGGAAAGAGTCCCGCTAAACGCTGTCACTGACATGATTGATTTACACCAGGCAGAGAGAGGTGGGATTTACTGCACCTGGCAGTATTATGCACAAGCATTGCTAATGAGGGGGCTGAAAATGGCAAATATAGATGAATCTTGTCAATAAAATATTTAATGGCCTGTTAAATACCTTCTAGATATTTAAGAGCTTAGGCATTCAAGAGCTGCAATTTGATAACCTTGGCTATTAAGTTCCAGATTACACCAGCCTAACATCAATCTACCAGGCACTAAATCTCCAATAGCCAGGAGCTCCAATCGGAGGCAGGGACCAATGTGGGGCATGTCACACCGGTCAGCAATCAAATTCTTCAAAAAATAAATTTCTCTCTCCCCACAACTCTGCCTTTAGGCTGAGGGTGCACAAAGAATAAAAATTCAATGCAATCAAATAAAGTGAAATGTTGAAAGCCCTTCTCACACAAGGCAACTTCTTCTGGCAGAGCTCCCTACAGGACTGGCTAGGTTTTGTGTCTCCAGTGGGTTTCAGCATCCTGTCCTCTACACGGTGGTATGTCCAGTGGGACCTTTTTACACTGTGTCTTACTATCGTCAAAGTGAATTTTGAACACACTCTGTGACCTTCGGGGGTATCTGCATGGCCCTCATTTTGTTTTTCCTGAATATGACAGATTACCTGTGGATTGCCTACTGTGTAAGATCACTGATATGGAACAGAACGTGAGTTGCTCATGATCCATCACTCTGCCATGATACAGTCCTGCACGCTTTTGAAATAACCACATAAAGCAAAGTTGCCGTTTTTTAAAAATAAACTTCATTTAAAAAATCATCTATTTAAGTTGTTCCAACCAGATGGAGAACTGCAAAGTGACCACAGGTAAATGCATTATTTCAAGGTGACCTATTGGCCTTATTTTTGCAGCCTTCAAGGAACTGTTACAACCTTCAATCACGAAATTAATCATTCCAGCAACATAATCTCACATTTATATAAGGTCTTCAATCTCAAAGACTCCTAGGTGTTATTTCAAACTTGCATTGACATGCAAACTATACACAAGGTTCCCTTGTCTCCTTTGATAGCACAACCAAGAGGGATGAAAGACAGCATCTATCACTTCAGCAACGTGCAGCAGCTTAAAGGAGGCCATGAGACAAAACAAAACCGGACATGGAAGATGTAAAAGGTGTTTAGGCTATCTCTGACTGGAGTTTCTGGAATTTGGTCAGGCGACTGAGTTACCATGAGACACCCACGCATTAGGATGTTCTGGATCTCTGCTTTCTCTGCTCTCCAAAGGATGGCATTTCTGGCAGGTCAGAGCTCCCATCTCTAGACTCCTAAGGACAGCACAGACCTGTGACAGCTTGGGAAAAATTTCATGCCCTATGCCTACCTCTGCTTTTGTAACCTCACACTGGGATCACAAAAGTTGCAATAGCTTATTTGGGTCTCTCACGTGAGTGGAACAAATTATATAAATGCACATATTTCCTTAACACAAAAATAAAGAGGATGTCCCACTGTTCTATCATAACCAATTGTTTTTCTGGAGGATATTATCAGAACAAATTTCCATTGGGCCAAAGGCACAATCCTGGCACTTTGCCACGTGCTGAACTAGCACCTAAGCTTTAAGGCTTTAACGGTGCTCTCTGGAAACTACATGACGTTTATAAAAGCTCTTCCTTTTTAATTCTTATTTTAAACATATGTGCTGCGTGTAGACAACATAAGGAGCTCGTTCAGCACATCTGCAGTGACAGCAAGGCTCAAACTGGAATCCAAGTCACAAACACACTTGATTTTCAGAGAAGTTTGATTTTTGTCTATGATAAGTCTCCACTTCTCAGGAGACCTGTGAAAAAAAAACCCAAAACAAATGTAATTTGGGCAAAGGTGTGGATCTGAGGTGTGGGTCTGAGACCAGCTTGTCAAGGCCAGCTCTATGCCCTGAGTTTTACTACCTTTTTTCCCTGCCCTGCTGTTGCCAACCCAGCATCACCGTGTCCCTCTGGGAAGACTCCCCAGCATGTGCTCGACTACAGACGCAGCAGACGCTACTGCAGAACTAGCGGCTGCCCACTGAGGTGAAACAGAGCCCCTTTTAATATAATTTTTATCTTATGCGGTATTGAACAAGATTATTAAAAAGCGAAATAATGGGGAAATAAAGGGAATTAAATTTTCTCCTGACGGCAGGCTTCAGTACTGTTCAGTGAGGAGTGTGACGTTACCAGCAGCACACACACCGGGAGATTGTAAGAAAGAGGAACGAGCCCTTCCAAGGCAGGAAAGGTGGTGCAGAGTGTCTTGGCCTAGTGAGCGTGAACCCGCGGCTTCCTCCAAAGAGGTTAGTTAATGTACGTTGCAAATTTTCAGAACCTCTTAAAATGGACATTTACAGCGCAAACTTCAGACAGGCAGAACAGAAAAAAAGATATATGCAGCTCACCTTTATCATAATTATTAATTTACTCCCTTAATAAAATGTGGCAGAGAAATAATTGATAATAATGTTTCGCTGGTAGCAGATACAGTTGCATTGTTCTTTAATTGACATTAGCTGAAGGGAAAGTTAAATTCCTAATGCGGCTCTAGAGCAATTTAAAAGGTTAAATCACAGGATCCTTACCTGCACGAAAGGATTTTGCAGAAAATAGAGAGTTGAATTCACTTTAGAGTGCTCTGCTATGAGGACAGCACTTACACAGTTCAGGAGCTCAGTACAGAATCTCAAATGATTTATAGCCTTATCTCTATTCAGGTGCCATCTATAGAGCATATGTATTGCATAGTATTTGATAAGAATCCAGTTTAGAAAATAGTTTTGAGAGGATATTGTCAGTGCTACTTTTAAATTATTTTTATTTTATTTTCCTGCATTATGGGCGATATTCTCTTCGAGGCTATAAAAATCCAGCTAGTTGACAATTTTATTTCTGCCATATTTCTAATACAGCAAAAACCATCATGGCTCCCTTTGGTTTACAGTTGTAAGTGGGAAACCCAAGTGGATTTTACTCCCCATGGAAGATCATACACAATTTGCGATAAGATACTGTACTGCATTATATTATACTGGTTACTATGACAAGGATCTGAATTTCTTCTTAAAAGCATGCAAGACTAGAATTTTCCCAGAAGCTCCTTCACTGCAATTTTTAATATAATCACAAAGTTCTTGATCAAATGTTAATGCTTTCAGGACATCAGTCAACAGCAGCACTTTCAGTGCATACGATTAATGCTGTCTGTACTAATATCATTAAGGGATAGCTCAAGAGATGTATATATCATTAATTAGTTAACTGCTGATAATGGCAGCCTAAGAGTCTCTCTTGTAAAATCACATGAACATACTAAAAACAGGGCTCTGAATAACCACTGTTTTTTAGTAATGAATTTAAAATGTAGAGACTAGGATAAATTTTCAGGATATACTCCCTACTACAGAGACCCAATAACAACTTAGATCTCTCACAGGTACATACTCATGATCTAGCCGTTTTGTGCAAGCACGTATTAACACAATCACCTTCCCCCATCCCTATAAAGGCTACAAATTTAATTATTCTCAAATACCCTTTTATAAAGACTGCATTTTTCTGTCCTCCTAGTGACCATCAGTGCAGGATTGGCAAGAAGCTCTCTCAGGAATCAATGCACAGTTCTTCCAGCCCAACATCTGTGACCAGCTGCAGCACTATTAACTAATAACCCAAAGCCAGCTCCCAAACTCACATTTCTCATTTGGTAAGGCAAGTTATCAGTGATACACCAGGGCCTCAGTAATTAACCTATAGGAGAACATAGCAATGATTTCACGACAGCTGGTGAATATTCAGGGTTTGGGGTTGGTTTCTTTTTTGTTTGTTTGTTTTTTTGAGATGTATCTGCTTGAGCTAGTATCAAATAATACCATGAAAAAGCTGTCATGAAGTCCTTTTGCATAACCTTCATAATACTGGATCAATGCTGACTCTATACTATTTATAGAGAATTATAAAAGACACAGTCATCTTTGAAATAACGGAAAACATGAGTCAGCAGTCTGCTCCAAGTTACCTTTTTTCTCCATTCGTTTCATATCCATCAGCTTCTCCACATTGTTGGGATCGTTCAGCCACAGCTGCATGCGGACAAAGGGTTCCCGTCCCTTCAAACTCAGCTTGTGCCAGGGCTTTGGGCGAGCCAGAAGGTCTGAGACAGAGCCTTGTGTTAGCCCTAGGATTGTCTCCCCAAACAAACGCTGACCTAATACGAAATTGAAAATCGCATGAATTCATTCAGCTAAGAGACGAGACTAACTAAAAAGACAGAACACGTCTACAAGATCACTTGTCAATTATTCTTACTTTAGAATTGCTTGAAAACCCAAAAGAAACATTTAGAAGAATAAAAGCTCTCCCCCCCGCTAAAAATGTAAATATTGAGCTATAGTTTAATCCTTAGGATCTGACTGTGGCAAAGAGGGGAGCTCAACACCTTTGGGGACCTGGACCTTATAGTGAAACAGTGTGCAAAAAATAAAATTAATGAGATTAAAAATAAACTGAACTTCTAGCTAAGCAGGCAACTAGTGAGAGCAGTGAGGCTACTTAGCTCTTATGCAGGAGGGTAGTGCAACAGCTTTGTTCCAACAGGGCAATCCAAACATTTCAAGCAATCAATGAACCGAGACCAGTGCAACCCCCCATTCACCAACGGTCATGTAAGTGTCCTCAAAGACACAGGTACATATTTTCTGTTTTCTGTGTTGTACTATCTGTGGTGTTCTAACTGCGTCTTACCACCTAGAGATAATCACATTTTACAATGTAACAGCTTTTTTTGCAGCCTCTACAGTACTTGTAGTTAAGAATACTTAATTTTAGTTCTCTTTCAAAATGCTATTGTCTAGCAAGGTAAAAATTGCATATGCTTTTCAATGTACAGCATTTGTATGTGTGTGAGTAACGCTAGTTTTACATGGTTAAGATCTAACTTAGCAAGGACTGTGGAAAATGCCTGTGCAGCTCAAACCCAACCATACAGCTAGTTTTCTAAAAGCCTTCATTTCAGTGTTCTTCCTAAGCTAAACTGCCTTGATATGCAACAGCTTTTTTTACAAGACAGAGCCTGAAGTCATCTGAGTCATCGCCGGTGATTTCCGATAGAAGTGCAGCTATCATGTATTTTCAAGGTAATCCAAAGATCTTTCCATACCGACCAAGTTTAGGCCTCAGGGTCTTGTGTCGTATCCATAGCTTTTGAATGCCCTCACTAAGACAAAGCAGAACACTCTTCCTTCACTTCCTAGCAACGCCAGCAGCCTTGGCCAGTGGCAACAAACAGATCCCTAGGGACAATGCAGATGTGTGGCGGCTTGTGCTCCTACAGCTCTGCAGGACATGCCCGCACTTGCAAAAGCACCATCAACTCTTGCCTTCATGGCCTCATCTGATCCTGTCACAAACAGGTTGTGGAAAAGATCTACTCCATAAACCCCTCCTGTGTGCTTAATTCCATGAATCTCCTCCTCCTCTTTAAAAACACCCCAAAACCTTTGGGCTGGCCATTTTTTTTTTGCCTGTATGGGGAGAGGAGGGAATGTGGGATCAGTTAGAAGCTGCAGAACGTCCCATTCAGGTGCATGGGGCAGGTGGGTCTGCAAAGCTTTTGGAGGAAGCAGCCGAGATAACGAAAGGCAGAAAGGAGAAATGAGGACAGGACTACCATGACAGTGTCTGCCAATAAGCTCTAAAACTAACCCTGAAAATGGTTCTTACAGACTGAACAGAAACCTAAATTGAGGATTCACTTAAGTTCCTAAGTAATAAGTGATTTTCAACTACCCTCAATATCAGGAAAATCAGACAAAAGAAGTAATTCAGGGCCAACTTTAGATCATGCGTATTGCAGAGTTAACTGACTCCCTGTTCGTCTTTGTATTTAAAAACATCAGTAAGGCCTTATCCATTTACCTTTAAACCTGCGAGCTACTTGCAAGATAAGACAGCTACTTTAAAGATCTTTTAATTTGCCTTTGTAAGTAACTTTCCTTTAACGTTCCCCACAGTTTCTAACCCCAGGCTGTGCTCAGGCTGCAATGTGAGCAGCATTTATTCCAGCGGCCGCGAGAGCTCCGACAGCCGCTGTGCAGTGCCAGTGCGGCCACTGCAACCGCCCGAGTGGCTGCACAGTAAATCGGAGCAGCAACCTGATCCAAGTCAAACCAACCTACCAAGAATAAAATGGCCACTTTTGACTCGGACCAACTAGTCTGGTTTATTGTGTGGCCACAGGAACAGGAATACCGGCACAAATCAGCAAAAAGGTCAGAAACAAGCAGCCCAGAGCAGGTACTAGCAATGCTGCCGAAGGAAATGAACTTCAAACAACAGCCTAAAAATTAAAAATGCAAATGTGGGAGGAGGTAACATCATGTTCTCTAGGTGTTAAGGACAAAGCTAAAGATGTTTGTGTCATTTATTTTATCCCAGGATATGGCAGGACAGGATAAAACACCTGAAAGACTCCCAAACTAATGGGGAATGTGTTAGAAATCATTCTCAGGAGGTAGGAGGTGTATCACACTCCATCTTCATCAGAGAGCTATTAATAACCGGAATATTTTTAAGCACAGGTTTCCTAAAACGCCTGCTAATTCTCCCCATCTTTCTCCCTAATATCCTTCACGCCTCTTCCCACTGATGTAGCTCTTCATGGACAAAACTTTCTGTAAATTATGCTGGTTTCATGGTTAGTCCTGGCTCTTTCTGCAAAATCCCCGCCACTGCAATCTTTCAATAGCTCACTGCATTTGCTTCCCTCTGTATCCAAGTTATACGTTGCCCAGCAGGGAATCACTGGTAATACTATGACATCTGGGACTAGGAATACCAGCAACATCTCAGTGTTAACGCTGCCAGCATCGTTTGCTACAATGGTGACTGCTGAACGAATGCTAAAAGGCGTGGGAGGAGAGACCCACCATCTTTGAGTGGTTTTGCACAACCGTGGTCTTTACTGGCCGATGATATTGGAACAACTGAGCCAGCACCAGTTGCCTAAGACAGGTTCACAAGGCCCTGTGGCCTAAGACAGAGAAACCTGTGCACCGAGTCAATCTGGTGCACTAGCACACTGAGGGCGCAAAAGGAGACATTGAAACTGGTTCCACACCTAATGCAGAGTTTGGGGCACATTTCCTGGCTCTTCTGCTGCTTTTTAGGCTTGTCAGCCACACTGTAGGAAAACAAAAATCATGGGAAATAAAAAAGACTAAGTAAAAATGGCATCAAAGCAAATGTAAACAAAAATACTTTTTCAAACCTCTCTGGAACACCAGAGCAGGTACAGCACTCAACAGTATTTTGCCCAAAAACTAGGGGCTTGAACCTGCAAACCCTTACCGTTACTTGTGGCTTTATCTCTACATTATCTCCACTGAACAAGCAACCACAATCTGCCCATGCCAATGTGCATGAGCAAGTAATTCTGCTGGGTTCAGTGGAACGTAATCTCATGCAGGGTATGTCCACGATCAGGGCCGTTTTCTTTTTTTCCCAAATTATACTAAATGAGAATTTGCAACCTCCCCCATCCCAGTACTTTTTCCCTTTAAAAGAAAAATAATCTAAGATAATAACACGTTATTCTGTGTCTAGCCAAAAAAAGGCTTCCTTACATACTAAAATAAGGGAGTTTTTACTTATATGGTCATAATGTTCAGATGATATGGATGGAATTCTTCTCACTTAAGTATCATCAGCAGTCTAAATCTAAACTTATCTTTTTGGTCCCATCTGTAGTGAATGGAGAGAAACTGGCACTTCTGGAGAGTGATTCATCCCAACCATCTCAGACATCTATTTTGAACATCTAAATGCAGGTGAGATGAATCCCACGCCAAGCCCCAGAAGCACATGCAGGTAACACTGGGGCAGCCCTACTGCCTTCCCGCTAGAGACTTCAAAGGACTCCTAAAGGTATCCCAATGCCTTGTGAGGGAAGCAAGTGTTAAACACATATGAAGAACTAGTGATTCAGAGGCACAGTGGCAGTATTGAGCGTGGATTTCCCATACTCAGATCAGGTTATTCCCTTTGACTATTCCAAATATATAGCCATGTCAACATTACACTTAACACCCAAAAACTCATCTGTAAGCAAAAGCAGCCTTAGCTTTGCACATCTCTAAGCAAAATAACTGAATGGCCCCATACACTTATCTACAGGTTCATCTACAGCTCAACTGAGTCTGAATTTACCCTCCTAGCTCTACAGGTATGCTATGCTTTTGCTTGTGATGCACATCCCTCTCCAATCATGCTGGACTCCTCTACTTCACCTATGCCTAAAATGCTGGGGCCTTGAATCTAGAAGCATGGGGAAAACAGCATGTCTCAAGGGGACATCTCACTGGCTTTGGGGTTTTGGTCCTCTTGACAGCCTGCTGGACTGTATTTAGGGAGGTGGGAGCAGTATCTGGCTGGTGAGCCAGGAGCAGAGCTTAAGAGCAAGGGTACGATGACATTTTAAGTAGAATGTGACAATCTGAAAGGATTTTTCCATTCGTTTAAAAAAAAATAGAAATCTTTTTTAACAGATTAAAGCTTAGGCCAGAATCAAAACCAAGTATTCTTGTAAACGTCTACTGAAATATAGCGTAAAAATAAAGTATGAACGCTTCTATTTTATTTCAGTTAAGAAATGAGAATAAAGCGATTTACCAAGATTGTTGTCCGTTAGCACTTCTTTGACCCTTTTCGTAATGCCATACGTATCCAGCTCAGGGGACATCGCAACCAGTTCTTGAATGCTGAGTGCCGAGTGGCCCGACAGTGGCAAAGGTGTTGTAGATTGGGATTCAGAAGCAGGCGGCTCGCTAGATTCTTGGGATTTGCCATCCTTACTTGTCTCTATAGCGGGACAGGGTTGCTGTACCAATTCAGTCAGGCTTTTCACTGATTCACTGGAACTCATAGGAGATTCAGGAGCAGGACTGCAACTGGCAGAAGTCTTTGGAGTGCTTTCTGTAATTAAAAAAAGAAAAAAGTCCCCACTTTAGCGTAATTGTAATGTTTTGATTGCAGGATATTTAACTTTCCTTCTCATTTATATTCTACCTACTTAAAGAAATGCCTAAGTATGCAAAATGCTACTTGTTATGACTTGGTTACTAAAAAGCCTCTTTAAAAACAGAATTATTTTCTGATTTTATCTTGAGTCATCTCTGCTTTCTTATAAAGACAAGATGTACAAATACAAATAAAAATCAGGAAAAAGTGAAGTGCAATAGTCTGTAAGGTTGCAAGAAATTTCCTTGGTCAGGAAATCTCATAGTTTTGCTTTCCACAAAGCATTATCCATTTGTATAAGGATGCTCTTAAATCTACCATTATAGACTGGTTTAAGCCTCCTTCTGTGACTTGTATGAAACTCACTTAGCCCCTATTTTGTAGCATCAATGAGGGGTTTTCTGTAACTGATACAACTTTGTATCTTGAAGAGTGTTATTGATTTCATATTGTTTCTTATCACTCGCATCATATTTTTGCACTTCTCTTTGCCCAGAAATAACTTAACAAGATTAAAATACAGTTTGTAATTATGTTGTATTAATTAACGTGCTTGAGAATCCAACATAAAGATAGCTAGTAGATCAGGAGACACCCAAATCTGTTATTGTGACACTCTGTTTAAAAGAAAGCTTTCTGAATCTGTTCATTTGCCAACAACAATAGGTTCTGTACAAAATGTTGTTTTCCCCTGATAAATTCACATTTATCTCTTAACGGAATGTACCAACTGAGCTTATGCAGAAAATCCAGACATCTAAGGGTACAGTCTAAACATTTTTTAAAGCAACAACACGTAGACAATGTGGTTTAGAAGAACAGTTCCCTTCAAAAGATAAACAGCACATCTGATTTCTCCATTCACAGTTCTTTCCCATTTTTGCGGGACTGGTTCCTCCTCCTTGCTGTCTCACAGCTCATTACTGACACGGTTAATCGTATGTATCTCAAATTCATACATCAGTGGATTCGTCTCAAAATCTCTGGAGGAAGCTTACAATGCTCTCAATTGTACAAGGATGAGGACAGTCTAAATCAAAAACTTAGTCCCTCTAACAGAATTGTGTTTTCCTGACCACTGCAACTCTACTGTGAGAGCG